GGGTCAGAACCCAGCTGGTCTTTTATGCCTCTTAATATTTCTCAAAACTGGGAACCCCAATGTTTGATGCAAACATTCTTACACTTGTAATACTTTCCTTTCTTGTGTGTTTTGTTCTTCCTTTGAGACAGGGTCTAAACTCACTATTTGCTTGAGGCTGGTCTTGAACTCCCGATTCTACTCTCTCTGCCTCCTAAGTGTCACAATTACAGATGATTACAGGTATGCATCACCATATCTGGCTCTGTTATATTTTCTTCATGGGTTGTTTCCATTATTATTATGTAGGGGCTGTCTTTATCTCTTTTGGATAATTTTGGTTCAGAGTTCATTTTATCATATCAAGATGCCTATGCCAACTAGGTTTAAACTTCCACTTGCTTGGTAAATAGTTTCCTTCTTAATCTGTGTATTTGTCAGTGTGGTGTTTTACTGGGAGACAATGGGTAATTGCATTTTTGTCTTTTAACACAATCAACTAGTTTTCATCTTTTAATTGGAGAGTTAAGGCCATGCAAATGTAGAGTTTTTATTGATAGAGGTAGTCTAATTCCTGCAATTAAAAAAAATGCTTACCATGATTGTTCTTTTCTTTCTGTTTGTGTTGGGGGTTTGCCGTCTTTCTGTTGTAGACTTGTGGTTCATTTCCAGCTTCCTTCCTTCAGACATTCCTCTCTACAGTTGTATTCTTCCCTGTGCTTTCTTGACTGAGACTGTTTTGCTTCCTCTTGTGTGTTTAGATTCCTTTAAGTACTTTTCAGCAGTGCTTTAGTCTGTGTTTATGCTGAAATGTTCTTTTAAAAGATAGTTTTGCTGGGCCTAGCAATCTTGGTTGGAAATCATTGGCCTCAGAGCTTGAAATATATGCTTTTATAAACTCCTGCCTTGGGGTGATTTCTGATGGTTTTTTTGTTTGTTTGTTTGTTTGTTTGTTTTTGGGGTTTTTTTTTTTTGGTTTTTTTTTGTTTTTTTTTTTTTTGAGACAGGGTTTCTCTGTGTAGCTTTGCGCCTTTCCTGGAGCTCACTGGGTAGCCTAGGCTGGCCTCGAACTCACAGAGATCCGCCTGGCTCTGCCTCCCGAGTGCTGGGATTAAAGGAGTGCGCCACCATCGCCCGGCAAAGGTTCTTAACTTCGTTTTTCCAGAATTCTTTTTTTTTTTTAATTATGTATACAGTATTCTGCCTGCATGTGTCCCTGCAGGCCAGAAGAGGGCACCAGATCTCTTTACAAGTGGTTGTGAGCCACTATGTGGTTGCTGGGAATTGAACTCAGGACCTCTGGAAGAACAGTCGGTGCTCTTAACCACTGAGCCATCTCTCCAGCCCCTGATGTTTTTTTAATGTGTTTACTTTTGGGTTTTTTGTTTGTTTGTTTGTTTGTTTGGTTGGTTGGTTGGTTGGTTTTGGTTTTGTTTTTCTCAAGACAGGGTTTCTCTGTGTAGTTTTGGTGCCTTTCCTGGATCTCACTCTGTAGACCAGGCTGGCCTCCAACTCACAGAGACCTGCCTGCCTCTGCCTCTTGAGTGCTGGGATTAAAGGTGTGCGGGAATATGTTTACTTTTGTGTGTGAGTTAGAATTTTCTCTTACAGCTTCCTATGCTGTTTATTTCAATGGCATTTTGACTATAGTGTGTCATGGAGAGGTTCCTCCAGTCAGGCCTATTTGGAGTATTAAACTGTCTAAACTTGTATATTCATTTCTTTCCCTAGACTTGGAGAAGTTTCTGTGATTTCATTACATTTTCTATGCCTTTAGTTTTTAAAAATATCTCAGCTCCATCTATTTACCACAGTCTAGGGTAGATTTGGTCTCCTATTTATATTCCATAGTTTTTTGAATTTGTAGCCATGCTAATTTTTATGTACTTGATATTTGAATGCAGTATTCAACCTTTTCCACGATCCCGGGTACATTTTCTTCTGTTTGGTCAAGTCTATTGGTGATACATTTCCCTTTGTTTTCTATTTGATCCACTGTTGTCCATTTCCAAATTTCCTTTCTTCTCACCCTCCCTTCCCCGTCTCAGTTTCCTAGTTTGCATTTCTTATCCATTTTACTGACTTTCTCATTTGTGTTTCTGGGTCTATTCCTCAGGTCTTGAATTGAGTTCTTCTTTTATGTTATTGATTATTTTTCCTGGTTTTTTGAGACAGGGTTTCTCTGTTGTTTTGGCGCCTGTCCTGGATCTCACTTTGTAGACCAGGCTGGCCTCGAACTCAAAGAGATCCCTACCTGGCTCTGCCTCCCAAGTGATGGAATTAAAGGCATGCACCACCACCACCTGGCTATATTTTTTATAACTATACATATCAGTTATTCATCTGGCATTTTACCCATGTCAGTGTCTTTGAGCTCAGAAATTGAGGAGCTGTGGTCTGGAGGAGTCGTGTTGCCTTTCCTTTTCATACTTCTTGCATCTCTATTTTAGTTTGAGCATCAGTTGGTTTGGATGTCTCTTCCAGCTTTATTGAAGCATATTAGTGAGTAGCTTCTTTTTGAGTACTAATTGCCAGCACCATTCATGGGGAAGGGGAGGTTGCATAACAGCAACAACATCAAACTAAACAAAATATAGACATATACTTACAGTTGATTAAAGCCTAGTCATACATCAGTTACCATAAAATAGCAAATGGCAAATGTAGAGTGTGTAGTAAAGTTGAAAATTGAGAGTAGAGGTAGAAATGCTAGATGAATGAGATAAAGGGAGTGGAAGAAGGGGAAATAGAGGGGCAGGGTAAATAAAGGGACAAGGCGAAGAGTAGAGAAGAATGTTATAGAGAAGCAGAGGAAAGTTCAAGAACTTGAAAATAAAAATACTGCCCAATAACAGAAAAATACATAAGCAAAATTAATATAAGGATGCAAATCAAATAAAAAAAAACCTTTAAAAAGATAAACCCAAGGTATTACTAAAAATATAGCAAAAAGGAAAGGAGTGGGCAAAAAGAAAAAGGAGATAAAAGGATTGCACAGGTGATGGTTATTGTTGATGACCAACTGAGAGGATCCAGAGTCATCTAGGAAGCAAATCTCTGGGTATGTTTGTAAGGGAGTTTCTAGATTGAGTTCACTGAGGCAAGAAGACCCACCCTGGGTATGGGCAGCAGAATTATTTGGGTTATAAGGAGAAAGTGAACTAAATACTAGCATTTATAGCTCTCTGCTTCCTGACTGTGGATGCCAAGGGCCAGCTGCTTCACACACCTGCTGCCATGACGTCATCACTACGACAGACTGTGAGCTCAAATGGCTCTTCCTTCCTTAACTCACTTTTATTGTTTGTTTTGTCACACAACAAGAAAAGAAACCAATACACATGCATCAACAAAACCAGAGGCGCGGCAAAAAACGAGGAAGTTTCTCCTTTAAGACTAAAGATGATGTAGAAACACTGCTAAGACCCCACCAAAAGCGAAAGAGAAACACAACTCAGTAAAGGGGGTGCTGTGGTGGCTTCCTTTGGGGTCCTCTAGAGCTGGAGTCTTCTGGGTGGACGCAAGAAAGTGATGATCAGTTGGATTCGTAGACTCTTGTCTGTTCTATGGTCTATGCTGGGCTGGGCCCGCACAGTGTCTTCCAGAGTCTTTCCTTCCTGTGTACCAACATTCTGTTAGCCACATTAACCATGCATCTTTGACCCGGCCAGGTTCTCACATCTTCTCAAAGGTGCCTCAGTCTGTACACTCTTGTGTGGCTAGTGTTCTAGACAGGCTACCCCCAATGTCCTGGTAGTGGAGAAAGCAAACCCCACACTGAGACACATACAGATGGCTCTGTCTCTGTTCTTTCCTGCTAAGTATTAGGTAGAGAGATGTGACTGTTGATGTCAGGCAGTCCCCTGGAGTTTGAGAGGTCTCCGTTGTGAACCTCATGATAGATAGTTTGATCTGTCTCTAGGTGTCGACCTACCTGTTGACTTCAGGCTTGTGTTTACCCTCAGGGTAGCTCAGTTTTAAACACTGGGTCCCCTTCAAGATCGTGCCTAACCACAGACCTCTGAGCCAGGGGCGGAGTGTGAAATGGAATCCCCCTCCACGGCTGACTTGGTCCACTGGAGGAGTCATTCAGTCTCAGGAAAACTGTGACCGGTTTTGAGTTTTATGAGAACTGTGGGCTTGACTATGGGGAGGATTGTCGGGCTCTTTGCATCAGAGCCTCGGGATGGCCTTTTAAATGGCGTTTCTGCCTCCCCCACCCCACACTGCAGAGCTGTGTAGGGTGCTTTGTGCTGCATCACCCTTCTGGGCCTCAGCACCTTTCAGGGGGTCGTGTTCACCAGCTCCCTGAAGTCTCTTAGCTCTTTACTTTAGAACTAATTAATGTGTGTGTGTGTGTGTGTGTGTGTGTGTGTGTGTGTGTGTACAAGAACACGCATATGGGAGCCGGGCAGTGGTGGCGCACGCCTTTAATCCCAGCACTCGGGAGGCAGAGGCAGGCGAATCTCTGTGAGTTCGAGGCCAGCCTGGACTACCAAGTGAGTTCCAGGAAAGGCGCAAAGCTACACAGAGAAACCCTGTCTCGAAAAACAAAAAAAAAAAAAAAAAAAAAGAACACGCATATGTGTACATGTGTAGAAGTCAGAGGACAGCTTGTTGAAATGGGTTTTCTTCTTTGACCATGTGGGTCCCTCAGGTCCAGCACAGGTCATCAGGTTTACTGGCGAGCACCTTATCAGCTCATCTGTCTTACCAGCCAGTAGAGATGGAATTACATGGATGATTGTCTCCATGGCTAGCTAAATTTGGAAAATGTGCACACATAAAAGATACACAAACTTTTCTATGTAAAGGCCTGTTCTGTTTGTGTGGCTCCTGCAGTCTTTGACTGGAAACAGCGTTTGGCTCTCAGCATTTTCTCCCTCACGCTGTACCTGGCGCACAAGGACACTTCGGATTATCATTTTACCCAGGGTTAAACATGCACTTTCTTCCCTGGCAGGGGGCGGGATCCAGAGCGCGTCGCCTTCATGGCTATTTTCCCCTCTTTGGTTTTGCAGCTTGAGAAATGGAGTGTAACATACCCAACCAGAGACAGCGGACGATGTCAACAACAGGAGTAACTCTCTACGAAATTCTTGGCCTGCATAAGGGAGCATCGTGTGAAGAAATTAAGAAAACCTACAGGTACCCTAGAAGTGCTGGGGGTGGGGGACAGTTCCTGTGCCACCATTGGTGGTTTCTGGTGATTGGCAAGTGGTGCCAAATTAGAGACATAAGCTTCTTGCCAAGGCCAGGTGATCTGAATTTTGGACCCAAGTTTCCTGTTGTGAAACATCGACAGTTCCGAAGAGATAGGTATAGCAGTGATCTTTGAAAGAATTACTGTGTGATGCCCAGCCTGAGAAAAGGATAATACTCTAAACTGGGAGAGGAAGTCATCTAGGAAGGAGGAGGAAGGAAACCTAAGCCAATCAGTAGCTGCACTTTAACCCATGTGACGTGATATCACATGGTAGACAGGTTTGTCACAAATGCTGTACTGTCAATCACACTGCTGAAGCCTTCAGTTTGGATCTTTCCATAGCTGATTTGTCTCTAATAGTTACTGTAGGGAAAAAACCTGAAATATCATTTTACTTAAGATTCTAAGGAATAAAAATACACGTGAAGCATAAAATTGCTGATTTTAAACTATCAAAAATGAAGATAATGTGTATCTATACTTTTACCTTACGACAGTTTTCATGGAGAGTTTGCTTCCTTTTCCTTTTCTGTCCAGATAAGACAGTAAAAGATTAAACTGAATTTGTCTACAGTTTCCACCCATCTTTCTTTCTCCTCAGTCCTGTAATGAAAACATCTTGATGTTATTAAATGTCCTGTTTTCATGCCTGTGACCTATGTTTATTCTCAACTTATTTAGGCATTTTACAAGCTATTATTTAACACGGAAGTTCTTTTAATCTTTCTCTATGCTTAACATCCTGTATATAAATCACAATATCTATTCCCTATTGTTTCCTAATTGAGGAATAAAGCTCTTCTTTCATAAGACAAAATGAAGCAAAACTTGATCGTTTTAATTAGTATCTTCTTAATTTTTATCTTGAACTAGGTTTTTTTAAACTTATAGTTCTTTTTTAAATATGTGGAATTTAAAAAATTCGAAGTAGACAAATTGTTAGTGACTTCTGTTGGGTCGCGGTCATACTTGTCTTGGCTAAAAAGCCCCCCTCGATTACAATGTCATAAAAAGATACCTCCTTTCTCCTGTCAGTACATTCATGGTTTTGCTTTGGCATTAAATCTTTGACCTTTTCAGGGTTTAGGTATAAGGAATGAGGCAGAATTCCAGACCTGGTTTTATCAAGTCACTAGCCCACCGATATTTATTGACTTCTCAGATTTTACCACTGATGAGACCTTCTTTGGCCTCGAGCTTCACCACGGGATGCACTGTGGGAGCTGATGAGGCCTCAAGAAGCTTGCAGAAGTGACAGTCCTCCAGGCCGCCATTTGGACCCAGTGTTTAGAAAATGGTGGAGGCTGATTAAGGTCAATGCAGATCTTCTAACTCACATTTCACTTGGAGTTCTAGGGACAGAGAAGTCCTTACTGCTTTGTTTGCCATAAGAGCTTTAGAAGTGTGCCTAGCAGTGGCACAGCCCACGACTAATGAATGACCTCCTTGGAACATCACTAAATCTTCCCTAAGGTTTCAGGCTAAGCTGGTCTGTGGGGACATTGGCGGTGGGAGTCAGAGCAATTGCATTTGAGGTTTAATAACTACAAAAATGAGGAGTTAAGCTACATCAAACTTCCTTTCCATTCTTAAAGCTCAATTTACAAATAAGACTTTTAATTGCCTTTATTAATTTTGGAAGCTGAGATTTCAGGTCATATCCTAATTAAGGCATTAATTATGCCGAGCTGCTTGCAAGTTTAGTAATCACAACATAAAGTCTTTTCATGTAATCAGTGTCTTGCCATTAATTTGGTTTTAATGTCAAACAAATATTATTTTTCAGCTGATTAGGGTACTAGCATGCTGCCCAGAGCATCTACTTCTATCTAAATTAGACATTTGTATTCTGCAAGTAATTCAAAATGTAGGAGCAGGCTGCAAATCCACTGAGAATATTATTCTTACACTCAGAGATCTAGATTGAAGCAGTGAGAGCAAAGTGAAATGAAAGGCCAGTGAAATGTAATAAAATTACCAACTGCTGATCCATATGCTGTTCGACCTCCATTATAATCCTTGGTTGTCCTCTTGAAAACAAGATTGGGGTAGGAAGTTTCTTCTTTTACCTTTAGTCTCACTTTTGAATAGATATTAAACAATATTTCATTGAGTTAAAATAAAAACATACATGTTCCAGGTTACCTCCTCAGGAGAAACAATATCATTAATTCCTTGCATACCTTTGTGAAGAGACCTCATGCCTATATGAGCACACAGAACTTCTAGACTGGGCAAGATGGAGCAGAATTCTCTCTCCCTGCCCTTCCTGATACGCTTGGCTGCAGTCCTTAAGAATGATACAAGAGACAACTAAACTGAACTCTGACAGCTAGAAGGGGTGCACTGGCTGATGACCTCGGGATCAAAGGATTAACACAGCCACAGAGCATCCTATGACTCTCCCACTCCTCACCTATCAGAAGACAACCCAGTCAGGGTGTCTTCTCAATTCCCACCTGTTCTTGCAGCAGAATAAACCCAGGTAGCCTTAATCTTTCCCCAATTGAAGACATCACCCAATAACCCTAGACAATCCCTGCATGATAGAAAGATTGTCAATTAAAAGTCCCTTGACCATGAGCATAGGGAAGCACTTTCATGTCTTATAACCTGCAGCTCCCTCTTCCACTCAGAGGCTCTGTTTGGCAGAGGACACTAGTGTGAGAGCATCTGTAGTAGGCACTTAGTCCTGAAGTGCGCCTTTGTCAGAGGAGCTCAGAGATTCCCTTCCCCACCTAAGAGCAACTCAGCCTAAATGAAGTCCCGCTCAGCTTCCCAGGTACTATAGAGAAGGATCCCAAAAGGTTCCTAGGAGGGTGAAGAGTTGGCTCAGCAGTTAAAAACACTCACTGCCTGCTCTTCCAGAAGGCCCAGGTTATCCAGCATTCACGTGGGAGCTCACAACGGCTATAATTCTAGTTCCAAGTAATCTAATACCCTCTTCTGGCCTCAGCACCCACACCAGGCATAGTTCTGGTACACAGACATACAGGCACATACATACACATAAAATATATACATCCATACACATGAAAAATAAAAATAAAGATTTAAAAGAAGAAAGGCTCATGGGAGACAAACTAGTAAGTCAAAATAGTACCATAAAAGCTCTGAAAATTAGATTCTCGTTGGCACTACCTGAAAAAGTAGACTGAGACCTATTTGTTAAACCTAAGTGGGTGACTGTTAAAAGTAGAACCCAAATTCTCTTAAAGTTACAGTCAAGATATCCAGACAAGATTTAAATCACCTATCATAAAATGAACTAAGAAAGTCACAATGTGAATGAGAAAGGTCACCTGACTCCCATACTGACAGGAGACAGATACTGAAAGTCAAACCCTGAGGGGGGTGGGGAAGGACTTAACAACAAGCTACAGATGATTGTGAAACAAATGAAACTAAAAACCACAGGAAAGAATGCTCACAGCCAAGAACCAAATGGACTTACCCAACTGAGAGGTAACAGAAACAATGGTAACAGCTGTTGAGCTGGGTAACAGTGGGGAGACTCAGAACAGAATCCCTGGATTTGAGGATGGATCAGTAAAATTTACCAGTCTGAACAACAGAGAGAGAAAGCAACCAAGGTTTGGGGATCCGTGGCTCCGTAACAGATTCCTGTGCAGCACTGGAGTCTCGGTGGAAAGAAGAGAGAGCAGACTGAAGGGGTATTTAAAGAATTAATGGCTGAATCTCCCCAAATTTGGAAAAACAAAAAACCTATGGTTATAAGAACCCAAGTGAACCCAAATAGGCTAACAAAAGAAATCTAACCCAAACACGACATCATTAAACTTCTAAAAACTAAAACCAAGAAAGAGACTTGAAAGAGAACATGCTGTCTATGGTGAAGCAGGACTCTGAGTGACAGGCCTGAAGGACAGTCTGGAAGGACCCGGGCACAGCGCTCTTCAAGTGCTGAAGGAGAGCCGCAAATATGGCATCCCGGGACGCTGTATTTCAGCTATCAGGGAAAATTCCTGTCTGCCAGGTGTTTGCCCGCTACAGCCAAAAAAGGTAACCAATTAGGTGGTTGCCCTTCAAGGCTGTGTTGTTAAACAGTATTTGAACTTCTCCTAGAAAGAAACCCCATTGCCCCAGAAAGTCAGGGAGGGGTAGAAGAAATGAATGAAACAATCTTTGTTTCCATTTCCTTCCCAGGTATTGTGGGTTCTAATCCCAAACCCCCGAAACAAGGATCCAAGGGACCCAGAAAAACCATTTACTTGTTCAGTCCTGGTTGTTTCTGATTAGGGATCTGAAATTATAGCATCCTCACTGCAGATAAACAAGGACATGGGATCTCACTCTCTGGATGGGAGAAGGAGAAATGTCCTCCCTAAGAGGGGCATATGAAATTAGGAAGGAAAGTTTGGGCACCTTTAGTCCTTTTATTCTTTTAGAGAATTACCACAGGTGGCTGCTTCAAAGACCTCTCCAAGCCCCTCCCATACCTGTGGTAAAATCCGTCTCAGGGTCTGAAAAATGCCTTTTCCTTTTAATTTCTGAAATTCAACCCTTCATTAAGTAGTTGATCTAGTAGAGTGCCTTCTCCCTCAAAGACAGCTGGGAAGAAAGGACAATAGGAAGGCTTTTACTGTGTCAGACTATCAGTCACCTAAGCTCTTGCCTTGTTGAGATTTTGTAGAAAGAAATGAGACCATTTTTCTCAAAGTCTGTGGAGCCCTTTGTGAGAAGGCACAGTAGAAATACCAGGTGCCATTGTGATCGAGTGAATCTCCTCGTCATTCTTCTCAGTCTAAAATTAGCCTGCCATTTGGTGCTACTGTTCAAAGACCATTCATCTAGTCAGCACAGGTGAAAGCTTGGGCTGTATCTAAGTGACACATTAGGGAAAGAGAAACCCGTGGCGTGTCTTCTGTCACCCTCAGCAAAGAATAAACTGTCTTTAGCATTGCGGACTTTTATCATTCCA